ACATAAACAATAAAATAAATTAACAATAAACTAACATAAATTGAGCACTTACTCAATGTTAGGCATTGTTTAATGTACTTTGCAGGTATTAGCTCATTTATTCCTTCCAACAACGCTGAAGTAAGGGCTATTACTAGCTCTGCTTTAAAGAGAATACAACTCAACTAAAGAATGGTGAAATAATTTGCCCAAGTCACTAACTGGTAAGTAGTGGAACCAGGATTCAAACTCAGGCAGTCTGGAATCAGAGTCCAAGCCTTTAAGCAGTATACTATATAATCAACTAACTGCATTGAGCAAGCAACCTTGATTTATCACCTTTGTTTTTCCAATGCTTGGTATCAACTAGGGGCTCAACAAATATTAACTTTTACATTTCTTTCAAAATGCATGAGAATATTCTTAACTTCTGTGTTACTTACTAACTAGAAAGAGCCACTGCCTGAAGTATAAAGGTCAAACCTTTTAACATCTACCTACAAGGTAGCTTAAAATGTAACTTCTTCTACGCCCCCCCCCCATGTATACACTGTCCCTTGGCAATTATCCATCCGTAGTGTACTCTGCTCATAATGTTCCTGTATTCAGCAAACATTGATAGAGTACATATGGTATGGTAGCTACTGGTCTTGGTGCTTTTTATGCATTAGGGGAGGCTCAGTTCTCACAACTCGATAAAGTAAATATTTTTATACTCATTTATAAATATGCACAAGTATACACATATTTTTTAGTCTACAAGGATAGTTGTAGTAACAGAGAGAACCACAGAAAAATAATAGTGAAGTTAATTTATTTGTTGTTCCACCGTCCGACTATAAGCTTGTCCAGGGAAAGGTTAAAGCTCAGCAAGGTAACATATGCAGACAATTTTCTGCCTTTTTGCTATATTATCCTCAACCCACAACTTTTGCTAGATGGCTCAAGATAAGGGCATCAGTTCCAGCCATGACACCTGGATTCCAGATATCAAGAAAGAGAAAAATAAAGGACTAACAGAAATGCATATTTCTTCCTTTTAAGGACATGACCTCTAGTTGTAACCTGCTCATATTCCTTTTTTCGTGTCCCATAGGCCAGAACTTGGTCACGTGCCCCTCATCCAGCAACAAGGGAGGCTGGGAATTATAGTTTTTAGCAGAGCAGCCATGGACCTAGCTTTAAAAAAAAAGTGTTTGTGTGTGTGCGCGCGTGTGTGTGTGTGTGTGTGTGTGTGTGTGTGTGTGTGTGTGATGTGAGAATGAAAGAATAGGTATTGGGGACTAGCAGTCTGTGTCACATCCAGGTCACAGAGCTGGAGAATGATTAAACTGGGATTTTACTAAATGCTGGCCTGCCTCTAAAGCCTATGCCTGGTCTGCTGTGCCACAGTTCTACTCTCCTCTTTCTCGCTCCCTCTTCAAGTTGCTATGCCTCTGTTGGAGCACTTACACTGCCTTGCATGACAGCCATTCATGTGTGTACTTGTCTCAACCACTAGACTTCAGGGATCCCTGAAGTTACACAGTAATTTCAGTCATCATCTTGCTGCTAAGCCTTCAATATAATCCTACTAATAATAGTGTGCCAGTCACTGTGCCAGAGCTGTGCACTCATTCTGCTCACATGAAGAACATCATTGTTATACTCGTTTCAGAGGCCAGGAAACGAATTTAGAGAGATTAGGTAACTTGTACGAGATCATGCAATTAGAAAGTGTACAAATTGAGATTTGAATCTGGACTGTTGGCCTCCAACCCAGACCAAACTCAGCCCTGGAAAGTCATGATTGGCATACAGCCCTCCCCTGCACTCAGTAAGCCAATCAGTTATGCCACTGAAACTATGCCTTTGGGAATTATAAATAAGAAGAATTATTTTCTTGACCTTGTTCTCCAAGGTTTCCTGGGTTGACCCCGTTGGTCTTCTTCTGCAAATTCACTCCTCTCTATCCTTCTGCTGAGGTTTCCTCCCTGCTGATTCTACTCTGTCCAGGAGCCTCTCTCGCCTTTAAAGGCAGGCTTCCTGCAAGTACATTTTCCGGTGTCACCTTGTTCCTCCTGGTCCTCTCTCTCAAAGGCCGCATGGAGACATCTCCCTTGGGAGCCCCTCTCTGGGCAAATTCTTTGGGAGCCTTCGTTTCAGCCCTGATTTTTCTCCTGATTTCTCCTGGCATCTATCCACCTGCCTAAGCCCTCCTATAACTATGTCCTTCAGCCTCAACTTGTCATGTCCAAAATGGAACCGCTTACCTTTGCCCCTCCTTCCAACACCATCTCAAACTAAAATTTAAATAAACTAATTCATACTTAGGGTGTCATTAGTTTCTGTATCATCTGAGCTCTAAACTCAATAGATGCCTCTGACTTATTTTTCTCCTTGTTCCACAGTCCCTTCCATCCCCCTTTCATGGCTCCTTCCTTTCTCATTCTTTTGTTACCTTGTGTCAGACCTGGCTACCTGTGCGAGTGCACTGACCTCTCACAGGCTTCTCTGCTCCCAGATCCAGCCTCACAGCGTACAACCAGTGTATGTTGGGACTTGGGACTTATCTGCCTGCAGCTTTCTTTCTCCCTCATGGGTCCGGGGAGCCCTGCACCCTGGCTCCCTGCGCTCCACGCGGCCTCCTCTCCTGGCCTCTGCGCAGCAATCGCTGCTGCCCTCCACTCCCAGCAAGGGCTGTTGTGCACAGGCTCCCTAAGGTGGGGCACATGTGCCTTGTAGGATCGCAGGGGGGACTATGGCTGTGACCTTCCCCGATCTGAGCTAGCAGTGCCACAGGTCATTCAATGGACTACCCACCCCCATGTAGGAACTTAGCATACCCAGAAGCAATGCCCTCCTGAGGTCACCCATCTGCCATGGGTTGGATCAGCAGGCAGTGGGAATGAGATGACTGGCTGATTTCTTCATCCCCAGCCAGAGCAAAGCACATTGGTCCAGCGGCTATCCAGAGGGAGGGAGAACCCGGCAGCTTGAGCATGGACCCTAGCAGAGTTGTGAGATAGGGTCCCCAGGAATCCATGTAACATTGCATTTTCCCTGAGAGTAGCCTGTTCCTAAAGAAGCATGATACTAAATAGCAAACAAAAAGCCCATGATAGGTTGAGAGAGAAAAAAACCATAGGGAAAAAGAAATAACTTTCTATTTTAGGAAATTAATGGAACTTTTTTCCCTGCTTTTTTAACAAGGGCCCTCTTATTTTTGTTTTGCACTGGGCCCTGAATATTATCCCTAAAACACTCCTTCACCCAGTATCTCCTTCTCTTTTCCTGGGTAACCCAGCAAAATATAAAGCTGCATGTGCTTCAGCTCAACACGCAAATTGCTCCCTGCTCTGGGCATCTGAGCATCCCCAATGTCACCTCTCCCTCTAGCTGTCCTTCCTCCTGCTTGCCTACCTTTCCACATGCTGAGCTCCTGCTGGAAAGACTTGCCCATGCCGCGGCCCCATCTGATCTTCCTTACCTGAATCCTGCTTGTCCTCCTGGACCTAGTCAGCCCCACCTTGTGAAGGCTACAAGACTTCCCAGGGGACGAGCTCTGTCCTCTGAATTCCTACATTTTCCCCACACATTTGACTATTTTATTGCCTTATGTTTTTAGTTATCTGTTGTACATTTGTTTCTTTTCATTCTGAGAAGATTTTCAACCCCTTGAGGGAAGTTCCTGGGTCTTAAAAATCTTTGAATTCCATAAATTCCAGGCGGAGTGCTTACGCACTGCACGCATGGTGAATCCTTACACGGTGTACAAAGGCATGCATGAGGCAATCCAGGCAGGTCGGCAGCATAAGGGAGAGGATAAGGGAGGATAAGGGAGAGAAGGACGGATCAGGGAAGGAGGCGACTTCTTGATAGGACCTGAGATTTCTGGTGGAGAAGGGGATACATTAAAAAAGTCACATTTCACCGGCTCTAACAACTGTCAGAAAGGTTCTTGAATCCCCAGCACAAGTTTGCATTCCCACTCCCTTCGCCCCAGGTGCTGTTTTCATGCCTTGATGTCCCTAATTGTATCTCACTGCTTCTGTGAGAGGCGATGTGTGAATCCAGCCCAAGGCTACAGAGCCCAGATCCTGGCGACTGCCTGTTCTGACTCAGCTTCGAGACTGTTGTGACTCAGACTCCGGGCTGCGCGCGTGAGACTGGCGTTCTTCCCCCACCAGCCCAAGGCAAGACCTGTCTCTTGGAAAGGTCATGTCTGCCGTGAAGTTACAACAATATTGGGGGGTAAAATGTTTAGTTTTCTCTTTATGATTCCAGTCAGACAGAGAAGCTCTGAGCTCAGGGTGTAAGAAAGGGCAGAGGATCTGTAATTTTCCTTAAAACGGTTCTTGGCCACAGCTCTTGTCTCATTTGTATGAGGCACGGCTCGACAATGTTACGAAACACCATGCTGGCTTACAAGGCTAATTTATGGAAATTACAAACATGCATGGATTGGATTCTTTTTTATGTTATAAAATGGTTTGACGGCTTGAATTTTTGTTGGCTTTTTAGTCTCCTAGGGATGAGTGAACCCAGGAACTTCCGAATGTTCTTGTACATCAGAATCTTGCTAAACTTTTGGTGATCTGTGAATCCAAAGGCAGCACAGCCTTTGAAAATGCCTCCTGCGTTCTGCTCTGCGTTGCATTTCAAAGTTTCCTTTTGATGATTTTGTTTTTTTGTGACACCTTCAGAATACTGTTTGTGAGTTGGCTATTTTGTTCACCTTGCTTGATGTTTCACTAACATCTCAATAGACAATACTTTCAGCCCAAAGTACCCTGAACTCATACATCAATGAAATCCTTAATGAAAGGACATTAAAATCAGCCTTCAGGATCTATTTACACTGTAGAAACACGTTAACACTGTAAAAGAAATTTAATTGAAAGGATTTTCTTTTTTCCAAAAATATGTATAGTCATCTGATCCTAAATATATTCAACCACCAAGTCCAAGGTTATCTTTACAATGAAACAAATAGTTACTGATTTGCTTAGCTTTGATGATTAATTCCATTGTTTTTCTAGGTACGGTATAAACTACTAAGGATGTGTCTGTTCAGAAATAAGGATGAAGCAGTGGGCTTTTCTCTATTTAATACGTAAGTAATTGCTATTTGATATAATGTTCAAATAGGTCCTTGGTACATACTCCCCTTATTCCAAGAAAGTAGCCTATCATCAGTTTTTCCCCTAAATGAAGAAGGTTACTAAATAATAAAAATACAATTTTTGCCTCTATAATTAATCCTTTTCTCTTAATCCTAGAGACCATAAAAACCAAAGAAAAACTGTTTCTTAAAGTCACATATTACTCTGTCATCTTCTTAAAAACTTCAATCAATGTCTTTCTAAAATCTCCCTGTAATTAAGGTGTGGAATATCCTACTTTTTATTCATTCATTCATACACAGATATTTCCCTAAGAATTCTCATTTCTCCACTTCAGTCTTGGCTTTGCAAGCAAGCCTGCTATTTATTTCTGGTACTGATCAATGTCTCTCAGCTTAATCCTCAAATGATTATATTCAAACACCCAAAAAAAACACAAATGTAGCAGCCTAACGATTTAACTCAAATTCTAAATCACTAGTTATTCATGTTAATGGTTATAATGAGTTTTTAAAGCATATATTATCATTATTTAACATGCCAGGAAAGGAGTTTAGTGTTTCTTTTCCTCACTAAATTTCAATAATAGCTGGGCTTAAAATTACACCAAACCCTTCTGGTTGACCTGTGGGTGTCACAGGGCAGCTATCCTCTCTTCACACCTTTCACCTCCTTTCTTCTTCAATGTTCTCTTCTATTTTGTTTAAAACAGAGGCTCAAGTAAAGTATATCTTTTCCACTTTTTTCATATCTTATCCACATATTTAGATAGGTCTACTTGGCAACATAATAAACATGATGACCATTTTCTGAGAGGAGAGCTTATGACACCACGGGTATTCTCCCTGCCTTCTTTACACACACACACACACACCCCACTACCACTACCACACAGGCATCCAGGCACTGTTACTGCTCCCTGGTCTCACGCCCTTGTGGAACTGCCCAAGCTGTTTATGCTGGGAACACTGGGGGTATCTGTGGGTTTACTCTGCAGCAAGTCAGTTCATTCGGACAGTGAAAGACTAGAAGTCAGGGTTTCCTAATTGGCTTTGTGCTTCTCCCCAAAAGAATGCAAATGTCAGCACCATCACCAGGCTCTGCACTCTCTCCACTACTCTCTCCCACTTACCCTGTCTGATCCAGGTCCCAGCCAAACCAAGTCATCAGAATGGAGTAGAAGAGTCACAAGCACTGGAGGGTGGGCTCAGACCCGTGGTGGAGGGGCATGTGCAGAGGACACCAGTCATGATTCCAAAAGGACCCCATGCCCTAATATCACTGCCCCTTCTCCCTCTCCTGTTTCCAGTCAGGGTCCTCATATGCTGGTCTGGTAGAGCTAAACTTCTGATATTCTTTAAACGCTCTTACTTAAGCCTTCTTTGTCCTGGCATCTACCCCATCCACTGTTTCAGGAATCTCTCACTTCCTTCCCAAAAGAAAGCCCAAAATACGCTATTGATGTCCACACTGCAGATCCACTCCAACTCATATCCTCTCCTAAATTGTTGGTCTGCAGGGCAGTAACTATACTTGTGACTATGGAAAGAATCTTCTTGCCAAGTGTGTCATCATCTTCCAGTTGTAGGTTAGAGCAGTGAAAGGCTATTTGGTATATGAGTGTTTGTGCAAGTCATGTAGCTGTGGTACCTTTTATCTCAGTCACCTGGCCACATTGGTGTCCTCTTCTGTCTGACTCTAGCCCAACATTTGAAGTAAGTCAAAAGGCTAGTCTTCCTAATATCAATCCCTCTATTGAAGTCTACCTAGATTAATGGGAAACATGCAAGTGTTGGCCACAGCAGGCTTTCCTTTTGACTTCAGTCATCTTCTAAAACATAATCCCTAGTCAAACAATGTAACTGAAATTTCTGCTCCTCCAGAATTAGCTGCTCTACCTGCCTGCCTGCCTAACCACCAATGACTCCATGGCAAGTTCTCTCCATCAATGTCAGAAGGTCTTCGGATATTCTTTTGGCTACTTCCAATGTCATTCCAAGAAGCACTCTTTCAGCACCATAATACAGGCCAGATTTGATATTCAACAGCACAAAGACGTCTCTTTCCTTCTTGCCAACTCGAAGCATGTCTACATCTGCAAAGGACAAGAATAGTCAGTAACTGCCAAGATTAAATGAATCAGTCCCCAAAAACTATAGTGAAAATTATGTAGGCAATAATAGGCCAAGAACACCCAGTACAAACCACTCGTCACTTGAAGTATAAATTTCATGACCTCTGTGTTATAAAAGAAACAAACAAATAAGAAGAGACCTTAGCCCCAAAGAAATTAGTTTGGAATTTAGAAAGAAAGTGATAAACAAGTTTAAGGATTTTAACAAAAATTGGCATTTTTATCCAAAGCATAATCTTGCATTTCATCAAACTTCTCCTTAGAAGATCATAAAATGTTCCATTATGAATGTAGCGGAAACTTGATGAACTATTGGTTTTGGCTTGTTTGCAAGAAAGCAATAAAGTTGCCTTTTCTTGACTGTTATCTAGATTGTTGTCATTACCCATGACGTTGCATGAACCTGTATTATCTCTAATTTTGTTTTTGCAAACTAATAATCCCAAGAAAATCTTCTCTTTTCCACTTAGTGGTTACTTTCTTTTCAATCTCTCCTTTGTAAGGATATTAGTTCTGAGGGAAAAGGAATAGAGAAACTCATTAGAGACTGACAAGGGCAAGGGATAGCACTTGGCAGATGGAGGCATAATAAAGCCCTGGTAAAGCTATAAAAAAAATTGTTGAGATATCTTATGCACCATTACCAGTCAAAATTTTCCCCAGTATGATGCTAGTAATGAAAGAATTCAAAATGTTCAACAGTTTAGTAGGCTTTCCCCTTCCTCTGGTCACCAGCACTGCAGGGCAGCCATGCTTCGGAAGCTGAACTACTATATCTGACCGATGTGTGCTGGCTGGGCTGTCATATGAAGAGAGGGGTTTCAGCCAAAGTGGCTCAATTGGTTCCCATTAAGACACTAACATCGATTATGAGATAAACCCTTTAGTGTCCTAATACTCACCTTGGAGCCAGCCACTCCAGAGTCTTACCTCACTGCTACTGCTCAGGGGCTATCATTCACAGAACAAGGTGTGGGCTGGTGATGGCAACCATAAGAGAAAATAACTATTAATGCATTTCAAGAACTCCAGTCCCTTGTGAGATTAGAACATGAAGCAAGAAAAATGAGAACGCTTCTTATCCTTGATCAAGAAGAAACAAGCTTAACACCAAGCTAAAGGAAAGAATGACCAGGGTTGGTCATGGTTGCTGATCAGGGAAAGAGATGGGGGAGAAATGTGGGCAAACACTCCAAGCATGTAAAGAATGACCTGGGTGCTCCAGGACCTTCCAGGTCAAAAAGCAGTGCTTCTCCTATCCCTGGTTTTCCCTCTGTCTGTTGGGAGCTTCTTTCTTTCTTTTTTTTTATATGTTAAAAAAGCTCATTTAATTAAAACTTTTAAACATCTGCTGTGAAACTGAGATACCAATAGTGAAAAAGCTCCACCTACAAACAAGACCCCTACCCCTTCAAGGTCCTAGAAGATCAAGGGAATGAGTGGGAAGAGCCTAGAAATTGATATTAGTACAGGCTAGGGTGGTGAGGAAATATACCCTGGGGTGGGGGTGGGAGTATCCCAGAAATCCAAGATTTGTTCAGGTTCTCACCCTTACCAGCAGGACCCGAGTCTTCTGACTTCCTGCATTACGTGGTGCTGTCACTCCTCGCTCAAATTCCCAAGGAATCATAAGGCTAATAAAGTTAGATAAGTTATCACCCAATTCTTCATTTCTCAGTAAGACCAGGAAGGGAACTATGAAGTCAGGTGTGCGTGACAAGATAGCGCAGCTCAGAGGAGACCACGGGTGGACACAGGTTTGCGCAGATAGGTATCAGACACGTGACTTCTGAGCAGGGTCTGGGAAGCCTGCAGAGATGTGCAGACAGAGCTGAGAGTCACAGGCAGGTATGCAGGGGATGACCACAAATGTCAACAAAGAGGTGAAAACAAACCTGTTCAGAAGTAGTGCCGAGAAATGGACTGTTCACTCATCCCAGGTTACAGGCTCTTCATCTCCCCAGTTTTATGGGATTTCTGCTGTGTAGAAACACAACAGACTGTCCCAGAGAGAGGCAGTGCTTCACAGGCCCTGATAAATGCTGCTCACAGCAGATACTGGGTATAGGCTTATATAAATGAGGATTCGAAGAATCTAATAGACTTCATCTGAATAACCAATTAAACTAGCTTGAATTATTGCGAAGAATGTATGTATATATTAGTTGGGCCTCTAGATACAAATAACAAAACTAATTAGGGCTACTTTTCATCTAACGAAGGGTGGGGGAGGAGGAAATTTACTATCTGTATACAAGCATCCTACCAAACCAGGTCAGGAAAGCCATAAGCTTCAACAAGGGACTAGGAATTGCCAGAGCTCTCCACTTGCCATGCCTTCTCTGCTCTGCAGACTGCCTCCTTCTTGTCACTCTGCATTCTGACTGCCTCCACCTGACTATCCACACTGGGCAGGAAGCGGGTGCTCCACAGGTCACAAATTCACAGGTCACAGCACGGCCATAGCAGATTCTGCTTGGTAGGTCCTCAGTCTTAAATGCAAATATCTATAAAAAAGAATGTGCTCATTTCAGCTAGATTCCAGAGTCCACCCCTGGACTGAGTGACTATATCCAGGGAAAGCAGTGCCGTAGAGTGAGATGGGAGTTAGAGCCTGAGCAAATGGTTCCCATAAAAAAATAAAAAAAAAAGTGATGGTAGAGCTCAGAGTATCTATTATATATTAATTTATGGAATTTAAGGCTGAGGACCTTGGAGGACTTCCAGGCCAAGCCAACCATTTTGAAAATAAAGAATCTGAGGCTCTAAGAATTGATATGCTTGCCCAAATTTGCAAAAGTTATCAACTGCAGAGCCAGAATTAGTCTGAGGTCTCCTGTTCCATCATTTTTTCTTTGAACTCATGTTGACCTACAGCCTGTCAGCTTACAACATGCCAGGCCCTTGGCCAAGAACCGGAAATAAGATTTGCCAACCAGACAGGATCTCCACCTTTTTGGGGTGAACAGACAACTTGGGAAAAGATCACACAAATAAATAAAATTATAACCCTGTTCAGTGCTAACAAAGCGAGGCAGTGACAATTCCCCATTTTGCTGTTTGGTGTCGTTGGCCAGGTCAGAAGAGTAAGTCCCAGCATTGGCAGTGAGAAGAGGAATTGCATGTAAAATAAACATTCACAAGATGGTGACATAAGAGGCCCCTGACTTTCTTTCCTCCTACAGATATACCAAAAATACAGCTGTGCATGGAACAATTCCCTCTGAGAGAAATCCAGAACTCGTGGAGTGACTCCTACACATTAGACAGCAGGGAAAATACCCACATCAAAATGAGTAGGAAAAAACTGAGACACACCCTTCCCATATACCACACCCTGGGCACCGTGACATACAATCAGGAGGAAACCCTCAACTCCCTGCTTCTCCCTGGGTCACACATACAGCACCCCAACTTTTAAGGTCACCAACCAAGAGATAGGCCCACAAATCACTTAACGCTAAGAACCAACGGGGCTTGCATTCACAAGTCCCGCAGGACTATAGCAAACAAAGAAGCAGCTGTTAAATGGGCATGGAGGACGCCTCAAGGCTGTACCCCAGGCTGAGCCCAGAGGGAACAGACAAAAATGCTTATCTTCCAGTTTCTCCCTGGGAGGCATTTGACTGCATACTTTTCAGCTGCTGCCTGAGGGGGCCAGCTTTTAATCAGCCTGTGTCTAGGTACTTACTGGGACCCTCCCAGGAGCCCCAAACACCTGGTGGGCATTTCTCCTGCATTCTCCCTCTGGCTTACTCCAACACTAAAACCAAGTCTCCAGCTTCTCCCCGGAAGGGGTTTGTCCCCACATCTACCACCCCAAATTTTGTGGCTGCCACCCAAGAGATGAGCCCTCAAATCACTTAGCTATGATATACAATGGGGCTCAGTATTCACAGGACCATATTGAACAAAACAGCAGTTTCAAATGAGTGCACAAACACTTCCTACAGCCAGTCCCCCTGGGCTCAAGCAAGTTTCAAACAGTAATGAAGACAACAATCTCATTTACAATTGCATCAAAAGGATAAAATACCTAGGAATAAATTTAACCAAGGAGATGAAAGATCTGTACACTGAAAATTATAAAACATAGTTGAGGGTGGCTGGTTGACTCAGTTGGTTAGAGCGAGTGCACTTAACAAAAAGGTTGCTGGTTCAACTCCCGTATGGTATGGTGGGCTGTGCCCCC